ATGTATGTGTATATATATATATAGTGTATATTTCGATACACACATATATTCTGCAAAATACTGCTTTGAGTCAGAGCACGGGTCGCCAAACCGCGACTCAAAAGGCCGCTTAAGCCATCCTGGCTTTGGGGAAACGCAATCGATCGGATGTGGGGTTTGGGGTTAGGAGTTGGGGTTTAGGGTTTAGGATTCAGGGTTCGGATTTGGGGTTTGGGATTAGGATTTAAGGTTTTTGGTTTAGGGTTCAGGGCTTTGGGTTTAGGGTTATGGTCAAGCCTTACCCTAAGGGTTCAAGTACTCACTATTTAAGGACTTTGGGGCCTTTATGGGTACCAAACACCATAAATAAGGACTACTTGGATCCTTACGGTTAGGGTTTAGGGTTTGGATTCTCGCGCTCGCACGAGGCAGAAAAGGCGATACTTCGGGTTTAAGGTTAGGGGTTTAGGGTTGGGCTGGAGCTTGCGGCTATTGTGTGCGTCCTGCGAGAAAGCTCCAACAGCAGCTGATTTCTGTCACTTAGTCTGTGAACACCATGGCCATGTGGATGATAGCTTCGTGGTGACGCTGTTCTGGAACGGCTTAAACGGGCGAAAAAAAACACATAGTAGCTGTTTGTGCACGTGCATGTGTCAAACGATCCTTTGCATCCCTGTCTGCTCGATCGAAACTTGCCCCCCCCCCCCCACCCCCCCCAAGCCTTGCAAAGGCGTCAGCCAGAGCTCGAAAATTGCATCCTGACCCTAAACTCTAAACCCTGAAACCCCGAAATCAGAAACCCCTGCTGAAGCCACACGTCCTTGCGGATCACGGACCTGAGGTATCGCTCGGAAGGGGTGTTACTTTGCCTTTTCAATATCTACGGGTCAAAGCCTTGAGTTAGAACGCCGCATCTCTCGCGCACTTGCAGCATGAACCACCGGACCTGGTTCTCCGGCAATTGCAAGCGAAATCAGAAATTGCATTTTCATGGTTTCCTTGGTGAACGATCGGGCGGCCGGCATGAACCACTGCAGTTGGAGCACAGCATGCTTCAGAATCCTGACCAACACCGACTTCCAAGACCAAGTTGAATGAATTTTGGGTTGTGGGTCAGATGTCTCAACCCTCGCTTTTTGGGGTTCTGTTATGGTCCCTGCTTAAATAGACTGGAATATACCCAGCAAACCCATTCCAATCATGAGAGGGCCTCTAAACCCTCATTTTCCAACTTGATGAATCGAAAGACCCGCTTCGGGTCAGGCGTTGGCTTACGTCAGCAATGCGCGGTCTCTGTTTGGGTTTGAAGCTCTGGCCGATTGTAGAAGAGCTCTGTGCCTCTTCGGCCGGCGTGCAGAGGGTAGGGTTTAGGGTTTAGGGTTTAACGCACGTCCTAAGTTCTATGATTCTATGACAAAGAACCTGGTTTCGGGAGGGGGCATGGAGATGTTGCTCGCAACCCTGTATTCGTAATCCCCACAAAAGAGTTCCTATGATCTTATAGTCGAGAGCACCATCACCCCAGCTCCCCCACGCCCTTGTGCAGTGAAGGCGCTGCGCGAGCCCGAAATACGTGTCATGTTCGCGGGTCTGGCGATGCGTCTTGAGGACCTCAAGATCTAAAAGGCAACCTGTGGGTTCCGACTTCGGATCTGAAATCCAGATTTCGTGCGTAGGAATTTGCGTAAGGCTCCGGTGTTACACTCGAAGGTTAGAGGCCTAGAGCCTAAGGAGTTTAAGCCCGAGGCTTGAATTTTCAAGTGTTGCCGTTGAGGCCCGTGCTTTTCGTTGTTTGGGACCTTTGGAAAACCAAAGCCCTAAAACTTGGAAGTCCGGAAAACGTGGAACCTCCCAAATCCCAGAAACCCTACCCAAAAACACCTGAAGCCCCAAACCCCAGCCCAAGGCCCTATGAATGGCCGGTGGTATATCTATATCTATATCTACAGCCAAGTCTATGTCTAGTATCATTCCTTACACGTCCCTAAAGGATAACAAACCACCGAAAGTGGTTGAGTACGCATGCCAGCACCACGATGCATCCCACGATGCCTCTTTTGGGTCTAGGAACAGGAAGTTGTAGTTCTAATTGCCAGGCCCTCGAAGCGGAAAGTGACCTCCAAACTCACTGCCTTCAACTCTTTGATCTCTTCAGCCTCCAAAGTGTCCAAGTTGAAACTGAGCCTGTCTCTAAGAGCTGAGGCTGCAGAGCGTGAGGGCTGGGACCACCACACTACCGGCACCACCCATATCTTTCTTAGATGAGATGCTCGCAGGGAGTTCGACACGGTGTCGGAGACCACCTTTGCCGTGGGTTTTGCTGCAGGTTCGGGCCCAAAGGGGGCTACATCTTGTAGGTTCAGGATTTTGGGATGTCTTACGAAGCGCACGGGCTAAGGTCGAAGCTTATACTAACTGTGCGGAGAGGCATTGTGTCTTATGGCGGTTTCTACGGAATGAGAAAGGCAAGTCTCCTGGAGCTCAGGGGATTTAACAGCTCATCGGGCAATCAATGCGAAAGAACCGAATAAGCAATCGCCTGCAAGGCGTCCTGTCGTTTCGGCATCCTGGAAAAAGAACCGAAAGTCGCATGTATGCACCTGCCTGTGCATGCAAGCATTAAGTCCTAAATCGTACTTTGGGACGAGTCTCAGAGGCCGAAAAGCCAATGCTTGCGTTGCGCAGCAGCTGCTGCGAGCGTGTGTCGTAGTGGGGCAGGAAATCATTGAGTTGGTTGAACACCTCCACATGAAGGGGACACTCTGGATTCCGGGGTGCACGTAAACATGTTCGTAGTGCAAATTGCTTGCCTTTCCAGATCCAGAAGACTCCCAGTTCAGAGCAACCTCCAGATATCGTCGCTGAGGAACTCCACTAGAACGAGAATCACCAGCATGCTTTAGAAGTTTCAATTACAACTGAACTCATCCTTCTGAAATCTTGTGATTTTTAAAGTCCATGCCCACATCCAGCACTGCCACGACAAGGGCACTTGGAGGCAATGAAGTGAGGGTCCTAGACTCTTCTGCACCACAGCCAAAATCCCTCAATCCCAAAGCCGAGTCCGACAGAGCGCCGTGAACCAGGGGTAGTGGCTCACGAAGGTGGCTGCAGAGGAGGCCATGGCGCCCCGAAACAGAACGGACGATCCTCCTGGAGATAGGCTGAGCAGCTTTTTTAGAACTACATGCACCCTAGCCAAGCTTAGTGCAGGGTCCAAATAGGGTTGTATAGGTATGCAGGATACACGGTCTGAGATTATTGAGGGAGATGTCGACTTTAAGGCAAGATTTTCCAGTTTTACGACGGGCTGGGGCTGGCGTTTGGCTGCAGTAGTCCGGGGCTCCGAATACCTGCCATCTTGGGGAAACCTCTGTATCTAGATCTATATCTATATATTGTACATATCTATAAACGTGCATATATATATATATGTGTGTGTGTGTGTCCATTAAGTTTATTGCTATATATTTATTCTGAGAGTGAGATGCCCCGCAATTCAGGGTCATTCTCTACTAATCCGCGGGCCGGTGGACGCACGTATCCAAATGTTTCCACCTATTTGTTTGTCTATCTATCTGTCTATCTATCTTTCCATCTACCTATCTATCTACCTACCTATTTATGTATCTATCGGTCGATCTATCTATCTGCATATGTGTGTATACCCGTGGATGTCAACGTACATGTACACCTGAATGTACAGATACTGGTAGTGACATATATATATATACATATATATATACACATACATATGTGTGGGCATGTCGATGTCCATTGGATATAGCAATCCATGCAGCGACTAGCTGAACATACGTGTGCCGCACGGTTGCATGGACATGCAACCCACAGAGAGACCCTTATGTCCGTATCGCCTCGTCCTAGCGTCCTAAACCCCTCAACTCCTGTGTGGAAACGACGAAGCAGAGAAGAAAGGCCTTGTTTCCCATCCACCTCGCAGGATCACAGAGGCTTCAGGGTTTACGGCTTTGGGGCGTGGAGTTTGGCGATGGTCTCAAAGCCCAGAAACTCTAAGTAAATGTGGTATGGAGTTCATAGTCATTTTGGCAAAGTTCGGTCTCGAAGCTGTACGATATAGATACTTGGAGCCTTTTGAAGATGCAGTATGGCTGCATGGCACGGACGTTCTGAAATGCCGCAGGTGCGGCGAAGGTCTCAAATGATGTTTCAAGAAACTAGACTTGAGCCAGGGGTTTTTTTATTGATTTGGAAATATTACAAACAGAGCTTGCAAACAAATCGGTGCAAACCGAGACCATGTCCCAACTTGACCTCCGTGGTGGTCGTTAGCACCAGTACAACTACCAACAGTCTGCATAGTTCCTTTGTGGTTTAACCAGCTTTATAATCCTAAAAGTAGGTAATTAGTCGCAATCGAAATATGAGTACGGCCCCAACAGAAGCTTCCTACCGTATGTGCGGCTAAACCCTAATTAACAGAAAGCGTGCCTGCAAGACAGTCTTCACAGCATCTACAGGCATCAGCGCGATGCGTATGCTCGCAGCTGATGCCGAGGCAAAGATTGTCTGGAACCAAACCTTGGATACGGGCTTTAAGGGCTTCGACTCTCACACTCGGTGCAGGCAGTGACAGGGCAACAACTACCAACAGCTTCAAGCACCCGCCCCACCAACAAAGTCATAACAGGCTCTGCCACTTCAGACATGGCCAGGTGTAAAGCACTAACTGGGAACCTTTGCGACGGGAATTGGCATCACGACACATACTAGCGAACACCAAGGGAACGCCCTATATTCTGGCATGCAGTTTGCAACATAGGGCAGTGCATAAGTACGTCAAACAATTTCCTTCCGACCCCGTGGAGAAACGATACTTGCTGATGCAATAAGCATCCCGCCGACGAACACACCGGCCTCAAATGGCATGAATCCCCGCGCAGCACTACTGCCCGAATTCCGAATCATCTGACAACGGCTGAACTCCACTTCGAATTTATGGGCCAACTACATCAACTCCTGTGGCCTATATAGATGGCAGCCGGGGCACCGGAACGTCCTCCCTGTTCGTCGCGCCGAAAAACGCCAGCACCCCAGCATTCGAGGCAGAGTCACCGAAGCGCATCAGCGGACCCTGGATACGGTTTGGGGTGTAGGGTTTATAGGAATTGAGGGTTCTAATGTCATATGAAATCCTATTGGGTGCTCGGCTTGACACGTGGTCTGTGGGGGTTTGGGGGTTTATGGTTTCGGGCTGAAGATTCAGGGTTTAGAGTCGCTTAAGGTCTGGAACAAACACTTCTACAAGTTTCAAGTGTGTGACGTATTACTCTTCAATCAGTGGGTATTCCAATCAATGCCAAGGGCACAGGCAAAGCAGAGCCCACCATGCAAACCCTGAGCTCCGAACGCCACAGCCTAATCTAGACCGCTGGATAGTTTCTCACAGTCGGGATCCTAATATCAAGGCCTTTGAACAAAAGGGCTTTGTTCACCGGCGGTCTACATTCAGTCTAGCAACCTTAAACCCCAAAGGCCTAAACCCTGACTCCCACCCCAAAACCGCCAAGGCCTGAACGAGGGCCGGGCTAATCCCCTGGTAGAAACGCCGGATCCCACCCTGGGTGTAGAGCGCGTGCGTGGCCTTGGGTTTCGGGCTTCATGCTCTCTTAACCCTAAAACCCCTTAACCCAAAAATTGGCTCTCAGAACTCGGACAAGCCCCTGGAATTTCTCGGTTCGCCGAGTTAGGGTTTTGGGTCTTTTGTTTACTGTAGGTTTTAGAGCCTCGGATTTAAAGCACCTCAGCCATAAACCCTAAACCCTAAACCTCAGCCATCTCAAACCAAGTAACACTTGGAGTTCAAGGTCCAAGTTGCATTCTAAACATGTTTATCTATCTATCGATCTATCTATCTAGCCATCTATCTATCTATCTGTCTGTCTGTCTATCTGTTTGTCTGTCTGTCTGATCTATCTATCTATCTGTCTGTCTGTCTATCTGTCTGTCTGTCTGTCTGTCCGTGTGTGTGTATATATATATATATGTGTGTGTATGTATATATATATATATACACATGTTCATACATATACATATATAAGCATATTCGCCAAATCGAGCGTAGCGAAGCATCACCATTTTGGGCAAAGAAGACACATATATATATTTTATGGCCGATGATCATCTGCAAGCTCGTTCCGTGCAGAATGCGACGAATCTGAAGGTCCGTGCACGGCCTGTGGTTGTCTACTTGACCTGGCAACCATATGTCCGGTCCATGACAATTCTGCGGGCGCCGGCTCTAATCCTAGAGTCTGAAGGTGTGCGCAGGAGGTGCTGGGGTTGAGGGCTTTTGGGTTTCAGATCCTGAGCCGCAGAACTCCCGCCCCCACCCTCATCCAGCGCCAAAGTCAAAAGCAAGTCGCTTCACGCATGCTCAGCCCATATCGATATTGGAAGTTCCTGAGGCACCGTCTCTGGTACTACTGGAGGCCGGGTTAGTGCGGCAACATGCTTCGCATGCTCAGCCATGAGAGCTGACGTCTGAGCTTGGCTGAAAAAATTCAAAGGAGTTCAGGTTCAGAAGGGGGGATGCAGGGATGGCTCGCCGGGATGCCAGAACGGTTGTACCTAGTTAAAGGTTGCGGGCGAATTGCACCAGCTTCTGGCGGCTGCCTCTGTCATATACTTCTGGAGCCTGAAACCGTACGCCTGAGATTCAAGGCCTACGCTATGGCCAGCCTTTGACTGCCTAATTGAACCCTGAGACCTACTTCAATCGCGGGCTGACCAAGAATTTGATTCTGGTCACTAAACAAGATTCCAAAGCCGAAACCTTGGCAAACCATACAGTAACATCAGCAATCTTCACTTTGCGTATGAGAACCCGGGCATACACCAGCTGCTCCGCTTCTAAAGGTGCACAGGCGTAAAATGCTGTACTGAGATGTCTTTTATGATCCGCATGAACACTGACACACAAAAACACCAACAGCCGGCCCCGATTCTGACACCCCGAAGCGTGCGGAACATAACAGAGAAGAAGATTCCAAAGAGCAGCTCGCAAGGAGCCTTTCACAGTGTGCTCCGGTTTAGAGTTCAAAGATAGTGCTCTAGAGCAACGGTACCCTAAACCCTAAACCCAAAGGGGGCGTACAAACCACCAGCTTCAGAGTTCCAGGTGAGGGTTCGGGCGTGGAGTTTTATCTTGACACCTGAATCCGCGGGCTTTGAGGCTCAAGGCGTAGGCTTTGGAGGTTGGGGCACCGACCGGATCTCCGTAGCGAGTCAACTTCGGCTTTTTTTTTTTAGGGCACCTTCCTACAAAAGAGGACCTAAGCATATAAAAAGCGAGGTCCAGCCAACGCCAGCGTTTTTTTTGCACCAGCGTTTGAAGTTTATATACCTCGACTCGAGGAGCAGAACTTCGAAAATACCAGCAAACTTTGTAGATCCTGTTTTTTTGTTTTTCGCCATTTTTATACGTAGGATCCTACAAGATGTAAACCCCGCCTTCCCCCCAAAAAAAGGGCACTACACTGGAGAGTATAGGTGGGCTTGCATCAGCAGCCGGCCCTTTTGAGGACGAGGCGATGGAGCACTAAGCCCTTGAAGTAAAGGTCTTCATAATTAAAATATTGGAATAAAGTTTTTGGGGCTCCTGTATAGTATATTCATAATAAGGAACCCTAAGGATAAGATATAGATAAACTTATTTAGGCTTCTATATTGCCAGAGAAAGTTGGGCCCTTTGACAGGCAAATGAGAGCTGAAGCGCATGATTGTACGCAGCCACATCAGGGAGGTGATTTGCAGCGCCATCGCCTGAACCGTCCAAGGCCGAAGAGGAAGATTCGAGCAGCTTAAGGTTTAAGGTTTAGGGTTTATAGGGTTTAGGGTAAGCTGAATTGATGCAACCGACGACGGCATCTGTAGTAGGGTTCTGCGAAATGGCCCACAGTATTGAAACTGGACAGATGCAGAGGCACGTTCGATCACCCAGATGCAACAACATCTTACTTGCGGTGCCTGACCCGGGTAACAGCCAGTACAGTAGTCATAGGTCATGGGTAGACATGAAGGAACCCCAAGGGATACCGTTCGAATTGCTGCGCGGCCTTTCAGTCGCACAGTCGGATCTGTAGTCAGATGTCAGGGGTACGGCAGCAGCACACAAGGTGTCGGGCCTAGGGCCTACAGGGTGCAGGGGGTTTGCTGTTAGGATCTGTTAGGGTACCTTCAAAAACGATTTGAGGTTTCTGAGGTTCGGGCGCTGGCGCCGGCTACGCCACCACACAGAGCGTGGTTCGCACTGACTCGGACCACCTGCCACACATCCGACTCCTCAGATGTTCAGCTTGGCACTTTGCGGTGCCCGGTCACGTCTTGTTGGACGGTCGCCACGGACATGATTATCGGACATTAACTCTCGGTTGTCTCGAGGAAGCGAACCGGACCTTCACTTGGTGATCTTTGCCACAGCAACTCAGATGTTCGAGCTGTCAAGGCTCGAGGCTCCAATGTGGGGGGAGGGGGGGAACACATACCAACATAATGGTATACGGTGCAGAGGACCACGCCAGTTCAGATACGGAGGCACTGCAGCATGATATAGGACTACGTGTGATATGAACAGTGTATGAACTGATGTAGGCCCTCAGCGTGGTTGGCTCGGTCTCAACAGGTTCGTAATTAACGGTTCGTGCATATGTGTTTAGTTTTAGACAAACCTCAATACCAACAGTCTGCACTCGATTGCAGCAGCGTTGAAAAGTACATGCCGAGCCACGAAGGCCCAACCTAGCATGGCTTCAGGCTGACCGAGCTCATCCTCGCCCATCATGCGAAGCTCTTGCTGCAGCCCTGGGATTTGGGATTTAGCTCAGGCGTACCGTGTGATGGGAAGGCAGCTCACGACTACAAGAGCTTTTAAATGGTGCTTCGACCGAGGAACATGTCATGAGCTCTCATTGGCATTCCATCTCATTCTGTATCTTTGGGTAGTGTTCTGTTCTGTTAGATACGATGCTATAGCACGTTTGCAATTCCTGCTTCTGGACACGCCTGCGGCATTTGCAGTAAACGGCCACAGCACGCGAAATTTCTGAGGCGTGCAGTTCACGAAAGCTCCTCTTAGGGCACTGCGCTTACGGTGTAGTATTGCTTCTTCCATGGCACTGATTGTGTTGGAACCACTGGACTGTCATAATCAAAACACAAAGTTCTGCAACAGCCTGGGCACTCCCAACACGATACCTTCCTGAGGCAGAATGAAGATCTAAGGTAACTGCGGACGATGTCGATGTAACTTCTTGCGGCACGTTGCCTTCTCAAAGCATCCATTCTTCAAGTCGGTTGCCACTGTCTGACTACTTCCATTCTGGCTTTGTCCGCTGCTATTGCGCAGTATAGTTCCCAATGCAAGTAGGCTCTATAGCTGTCTAGAAATCAAAAAATCCCGGCACCTGATTTTCCAGTTCAGCCGAGTAACAGTGTGCTTTCAAGTACTCGGTCTGCGCCACGGCCTCATCACGCTAGCTCATGCCAGAAGCTTCGGCGAAAGCAACTTGCACTACAGTATCAAACACTGCGGCACATAATCCTGAGTCCTTAGTCTAAGACACTTCGCCCGTCCGACCCAGCCAGGAATTGTTTGACAAAGTCTCAACCACCACCGAAACAGTTCAAGCATAATTTTGTCATTAGACTCCATATGCGACCCTAAAGACGGCTGAGATCGAGCCGAAGCTATGGATGATAAGGTCGACGATGCCGCAGATCATGATGGTTCTGACAGTGGTGCTGGCAAGGATGGGGAGGTGACGGCGATACTGATGGCGGTAATGGCACCAACTTCGGAGCTTGTGAGCATGTTGATGCACATGATCTCGATGAGAGTAATGGTGCGTGATGTTACTGGCGACTGTGGTGGAGGTGCTGGTGACAGTCCTGAACGCTTAGACCGAAATCTGATCGTAGTGGTTGTAAGGTGGTGCTCGTGACTGCCTGGGCCCTTGTGACCGGTGCTTGTGATGGTCTTGGCGCGGATAAGAGACAGCTTAGTCTTCGCAGCATGTTTTCTGCTATTTGCTATTCTCCATGTAAACTCCAAAGCCCTAAACCCCACAACGACAAGCACACAATCCTACCAAACACCCTGAAACCGAAAACCCTTTTGTCCACAGGCTTGAACTGAGCTCGCCCGGCCAAGTCCCTCGAAAACCCTAAAAGCCAAACATGACGCAAAAAAACAAAAAAACGATAGAAGCCTTGCCTCTTTCAGTGCTATTCTGAGCTGATCGGCCTGCTCCTGGGCTCATCGCCGGCGGACTCTCCGGGGTTCTTTTTTTACGACTTTAGGGCTAGACGGCTAGAGGCTTCAGAGCATCAGTCCGTAGAGTTTGGCTGTAGGGAAGGCATCTTTTCATACCAACTCAGCTGACAAGGGCATTTTTTGCTCGGTTTAGGGTTTAGGGTTTACAGTAGGGGCATTAGGGTTTAGGGTTTTGTTCTGGGCCCAAGGGCGCTTGCCGCATAGATGTTGCCTAGAGAGAATTCTTGTCTGATCTAGGCTGCCAGGGATTCCCCAAGGCTTATATGTATATATATATGCATATATATATATATTTTTTTTTTTGTTTTTATTTATTCTGTATACATATACATCTCTCTCTCTCTCTCTCTGTGCGGGTGCCTGGAGAACTTGTGTTTAAGATCGATATACAGCTAAATCGCTTAGAGGGCTTGGTAAGGGCTGTGACAAAGTTTAGTAACGGCTTCGTAAGGATTTCTTTACAGGCGCTATAGGCTTGAAAGAAACAAAGGTCGACCTATGCCGGCTGCTGAACCGAAGCAGCAACATCGACTTCTGCCATGTGTTCAGACCCAAATGTCAAGCCGAAGCTTAGACACAAACTCGAAAACCTGAGAGCTCACAGCCAAGGCGCTTGGTGGCTGGACCTCAATTTCCAGCCCCGAGCTGGTTAGGAAAGCCCTGCTGATGCATGAATCAATCCTGATTTTTTGCGAAACCCACATCTCTGCATACCACACAGGTGTGCAGGGAGTAAGAAGCCTCCTGGAGAAAGTCATTGAGATCCTATCGTAGTTGGCATGACAAAGGGCGCAGTAAATTAGTTTAAGTAGGTTTCGACTCGCACACTCGTTCAAGGCGGGTTTTCCACTGCCTTCTTGACAGTTTGGGGCACTGAGGCCCTGTGGCATGTGCCGCCACCTTTAACTGCAAACAACATTGGCCCTTGCCTCTTACTACTTTCGCAAACGGCGCTTTCTCTACGGGATTGGCTCGGGCTACTGTTGCCGCTACTGCTCGTTAAACCTACAATACTTTGTCCGAGGACAAGTGCAGCTGCTCCTGCTAGTGCCTTTCCTCTTCCTGCCCTTCCCCGCCTCCCGTTATTTCTTCTACACCTGGGCTACGCATACGCCTGCAGTGCTCCTACACCGTAAACCCTGATCCTGGTGCTGAAAATGTCATGGCGGCATCCGTCTTGCCTGTCTGGCCCTTCTCTCGTAGCTGCTAACATGAAATAACATGAGCTTCGTAGTCCTTGCCCGAGGGCGTCAGTTTGGATTACAGTCTACTGGATACGCCGTATGATCCTCGAAACGTAGCTGCACCATGTGAGTACAATTGCCATCTGCTTTGCTGGGGCCGTGCTGCTTCCTTCAACTGTGGAAGCCTTAACCTGGACAGGACACGTTCTGATGGGCGTTCAGAAAACCCATGCGTCTCTGCCTACGTCTTGGGCTCCGGCAGAGCTTCTTGATCGGATTCGCAATCCCTGCGTCTCCTTGCGGGTCTTAGGGCATGGTCGGCAAGTCTACGGTCTAGAGTCTAGACGATTTGTTGTTGACACAGGCACGGGCTCGAAGTTTAGGACTTCAGCGTTTTAGGGTCAAGAACCTAAGCTCAGGGAGTTGGCTGATTCTGCTGTTGACTTGGAGCCAGGGCTTTGAAGGTCTCAGGGCGATCCTGTGCCCATTGTGCCTGCAGCCAAGACCTAGCCTAGGAAACTGAACAGAATAGCGGAGGCCCGGATGACCACAGTCGCATCAACGCAAACGAAGCACGGCTTGATAATATTGCTACCGGCCAGCGGCCCGCAATGCCTCTCGCAATCAGAATCACCTGCTCCAGCATGGCTATCACCATCGCCATCATGAGAACACTTAGCAACAACCATGGCTGCAGCAGGACTATCACCACAATCAGCGTCGTTGCACTACTGCCAAACGACTTTGCTGGTGCGGTTGGCGTGGGACGATCTGATCGCAACTGTAGCACTGGGAATATTCACCGGGTCATACTACGTTGCCAGACTTCCTGTGGCTAAACAGATGTCGAAAGTCAGGGTGTCAGCAGGTACTACAGATACCGGCTAGCTGCGCGACAACTATGAACGGCTGCCAGCATGCAACGAAACAACTGCAGCAGTCTGTGAATTTAACGAGGGATTTCTGCCGCTGTTGACTCTTGCTGTGCCGGATGGGTGTCAAGAGCCATCCTGCTGAAACACCAACGAGGCAGTTCACACGCTTCCACAACAGCTACCCAAAGCTTCTGGAGCGCCTCATGGCCAGCATGATGGCCTGAGCTTGTGGGCAAACTTCGGCACAGTGAGGCTCTAGCAGTGTTTGTACAGAAGCTTGCAATTCCTGCCTGAGGCCCTAAAAGCCTATAGAAGCCTAAACCGTAAATCCGGATGTGCAAAACTGCCTCAGTGGCCCAACCAGCTACAACTGCAAATAGGTAATTTAGGTTCCTTTCAGGTCGCTCATAACAACACTTCCTTTAAGCTTTAGCCTCACTCACTCCAAAACCCTCACCCTAAAACCCGGATCTCGGGTTCAGCTACCCCATTCAGCACGACGACGGCCTAGCAGTCTTTCCGGGATCCTCCAGCTTTTGGTGTCGGCTTTGTGGTTGGGGCTCCGATGTGTGCAGAGCATCATGTATTCCGGGGCCGGGCCCTCAGATTCTGGGCTGCTTTGGGGTTGCTCCAAACATGGATCTACGGCCCAAGGTCCCCGGAAAGCCCCTGACTTCCCGCCACCTGCAGTTTTGGCATCAAGGCTGAATCCAACCTCTATACACCATCGATGCTAAGTCCTCGGTGCCCTGAAAACCCAAACCGCAGGGTGCACCTGTGGTCTTCATTGTGAATTGGGGTTACCTTACCAGATCCTGAATATGTACTTGGTGATTTAAACCACAAGGAACTACAATGGAGACTATATTGTAGGTACTTTCTTAATATAGGCACTATATTCTAGGTACTAAAGCAAGCAACACAAAAGCCTCCAGGAATTTGGTTTGGGCGGTTGGGGGATCTCCGGGGGTCACGCAGATCCCAGACAAACCTCTAGCTCCCAGGGTCCATGTACCCATACAGTGAAAGCTCTGGTCTTAAAGTAGTCCCTACATAGTTACTATAGGGCGAAAGCAATGTACTGTTTGAGTACATGGACCCGTAGGGCAACCTCTAATCCTGTCACTGTATTCCCGCGCCCCAAAGCCTGCCGTCACAAGTTGCATAGCCCAGGTAGAAAGCAAGCTGGCCTTATCCCGAAATCCTAACCTTCGACCTTGTAAACCACAAGCCGTATAAGTATAGATCCTAAACCCCATCAGTTCCTTGTACCCTATGGTGGCGGTTTCTCTCTGTCAGGTTCTGCCGACACAAGATCATGCGCCTAGAACTCCTCAGTCCTTGCAGTGCTTTCAACAAACACTTTCGACTCACGCACCCTCGCACAAGGCTGGCATGGCATTCGAGGTTTGAGCTCAACAAACAGTTTAGGGTTCAGGGGCTTTCCGCA